CTTCACTGAATTTTTCCATATCAGATGGTAGGATTTTTCCCTATCAAGTGGAAAAAAATTAAGATTGAATTCCAGATTATCCAGTTTGAGATTAATAGCTTTACTCTCCCAAGAAATCCAGTGTATGAACCTATATTACATTTTTCCAATGCTACTTAAAAAAAGGCAAACTATAAACTTTTGAATTCACTTTTTACATTGAACTTCTCAAAGAAATCCAAAGTGTTGTCTTTAATTTGCATTAAAGTGGTCAAACATTTCTCCTGTTTCTCCCCTCCCCAAAAGTGCAAAAAACAAGTTGCCGCTTGGTCCACCAACATAATACACCATGTACAGCAAGAGATTTTCCTTCTGATGGAGTACTGCTGCCAACCCATCGCTTCCAGTTTCTACTCCCAAGAAAAATGTCAGCGTCCAAAGATGGAATTCAATTCCAGTAGAATTAATTCTACAATCTGATTCTGATATACTGTGTGGACTGCTATGTTACCAGTCTCTTTCTCTGGTTTTAATAAGGTTGGACCAAAAACTATTGCTACACTTTGATAGGTCATTCGGTTCTTTTCTCCGTTTTCTACAACTCTGAAAGAAGAAAAAAAATACACAAAAAGTGTGTGTCAGCATTAGAGTAATGGGATGCAGGAAAAAGACACAGTCCAAAGCAAATTACTATTTACTGTATTTATTTAATGAGTAGTCTTGTTATTAGGACATACAGCTGCTGTGCTTCCCCTCTCTATGGAATAGTTTTATTTTGAAATGCTATCCCTAAATCCTCTCACAATCCCTCGACCATAAGGACTTGGCAGTCAACATCACAACTATGACACACGCTGTCTAAAGTCCATTTAGGTGCTCCACAAGCTTGTATAAATACAGACTGACAGACTGTTTTCATTGAGTCCAATATAGGCAAGAAAAATGTAGTGGGAACAGTCACCCAGTACTTTTAATTGGATTATTTAGCTTTAAGGGAGGATCAGCAATACAAAGCTTTTCCTTCTACCTGCTACTTACCTCTTCAGGTGTCTAAAGAGTACCTGCATAGTGTCCTGATTTGGTTTTGGCAACTGTTTGATTAAATCTTTAACAGCATGGACACGCTGCCTTGGTTCTTGTTCTGCAAAAGGATGAGGTGTAGAAACAAAGATTCAGTATTTTTGTTTAAAACTTTAGCATAAAATTTAACAGACTGGGAATAAATGTGAACGTTTTGCAGTGCTAATATTAGATAAAATACTGCCACCTCCTGACCAGACCGTGCATTACTGACATCCAATTTTAGGTAAGCCTCACAGATGTTCGTAACAGAAACATTCATTTTACTGTCCAAAATAATAAAATGAATTGTACATATGAGCAGAACTTATACAAAAAGCACAGGCATGTTTTTCAGACTTACTAATTGCATTGACAAAGTCATTGAAGTGATTATAAGTGAACAGCGGCTCTGGCAGTTCTCTGAAAAACATCTTTAGAGCTCCTGTGATGACATGTATATCTTCCCATTTACTGTCATTCAAGTCTAGTTTCTCATCTGAGAGAGAAAAAGTAATAATTAATGTTAACAATTTAACTATAAAAAGCTTTTATTTAAAAATAAACCTAACCACTCTTCTGTACTTATTGCTTTTGAAGCAGCAAAGACTTACTGCACCTCAGGCCACTCTCTGCCGGCATACAGAGCTGCAGCCATGTAAAAGGGGATGCATCCACTCCACCACTACAGCTGGAGATGGCTGAACTCTGCCTACTGCACTACATGCAGCTCCCCTACCCCGAGGGCGTTTTCCAGAGGGGAACAGGAGCTGCTGACATAACACAAAATTTACTGTTGGACCCTGTCAACCAGGAAAAGAGAGGTCAGGCTGGCGGTGGGCGACTGTCCTCTTCCTAGCTGCTATCGATTCCCACTGAACACAACACAGCCACATGAAAGGGTTTTATACAGAGAGCATGAGGAGGAGCTAAGCATCCCCATACGAAAAGGCAGCAGCAGATCTCGCTAAAAAGCATTAACTTCAAATTTTAATGCTAGTGGAATCTTAATATGCTTACTGTTTTTCTGTAAGGCATGAAGTTTTTTTTCTTTGAAATAATTCTCCCCCCTCAAATTTTATTATTACCTTTCTTTAAAATTGTGTTCTAGCAATACCTCTATGTTCCACATAAGACCAAGCTTCCAGGATGCTAGGTTTTTCAGATGATGTATATTACACCCTAAATTCTGCAACTTTGACGTAATTTTACTTTGAAGATAGACAATCATTTCTCCTGAAAGACTGTAGTTACACACTAAGAAGTATTTTTTCCTGAGCTTTCTATGAACTCCAACAATCTGAAAATATACACAGTTGTAATATAGTTGAAGGAAGCTTACCATGATTGACTCACTGCACACAACACAGACACAGCCACATGAAAGGGTTTTATACAGAGAGCATGAGGAGGAGCTAAGCATCCCCATACGAAAAGGCAGCAGCAGATCTCGCTAAAAAGCATTAACTTCAAATTTTAATGCTAGTGGAATCTTAATATGCTTACTGTTTTTCTGTAAGGCATGAAGTTTTTTTTCTTTGAAATAATTCTCCCCCCTCAAATTTTATTATTACCTTTCTTTAAAATTGTGTTCTAGCAATACCTCTATGTTCCACATAAGACCAAGCTTCCAGGATGCTAGGTTTTTCAGATGATGTATATTACACCCTAAATTCTGCAACTTTGACGTAATTTTACTTTGAAGATAGACAATCATTTCTCCTGAAAGACTGTAGTTACACACTAAGAAGTATTTTTTCCTGAGCTTTCTATGAACTCCAACAATCTGAAAATATACACAGTTGTAATATAGTTGAAGGAAGCTTACCATGATTGACTGCAAATCTGAGCTTCTGTATCACTGCAAGATTGCCACTAACTCGGTATAAGCCATCAATGTCTAATCCTAAAACAAAGGGATAAATCCATTTTAATACTTTACACATGTATGAATACTGCAATAGTTAGGCTGCTTCTTTATAGGTCTACTCAGCAAAATTAAAAACAAAAGAAACCCACCTTGTAACAAAGAACACTCGGTTCAACAAAAAAGGAGAAAAATTGAAGCTAAAATAGCTTTTTTGATGGGCAGGGCGTATCGGAGGAGGTTTAGTTTGCTGACACAGGTTTGGTAGCATCAAGCTCAAAGTAATCTCTAAAACTTCCTACACAGTAGAACAGCAGTAACAAGGCAACAGCTCCAAGTTCCCCCAGTGAGATTAGGTGTCTCATTTAAGATGCTCTTGGTGGGTAGCCAGGGGATATGTGGGAGTCCAACATGCAAGAACCAAGTATTTTGTGGATGTTCAATTTTTTTAATGTATGGTTAAGAAAAATCAAATCAAGTCATGCACAGAGAGCATCTCAAGGTTGTCAAGTGACCAGGTTCGCATGGAGAAGGAATGATGTGCATGCACACTCATCACTGCCCAACAGCCTACAAAATTAAACAGGTAGCCCTTGCCTTTAGAGTACTGCACACTCAACCAGAAAAGAAGCAAACTGTGTCTCTGTGGTTGCTGCTGCAGTTACTCAGAAGTGATTAGGAGGTAAAGAATTTAACTGAAATGCCACTTGAATGCAGCATGTGAGTCAGTGCCACTGAGAGGGTGAGTGCTGCCAGAATACCTGCAGTCCCTGTAGCTCCTCAAGGAGTTGTCTGATGCAACACAGCACAGTTACCAGCACCATCTGACATATCCCTTTTCCCCATAATCCACTAGTCATTCCTTTACAGAAAGAACCGATTTGAAGTGTACTGGCAGTAGGAAGAAGAGTTGGAGAAGTGGGGGAAAAAAAGCTGTTCATTTCTGTCAGCTTCCCCTCAGGTATTTAAAAAAGGAAAACTTCACCACTATCTTCACTGCAGTCCTGTCTTTAAAATAAAAAAAGAAATAAAAAAAAAAGGAACAAAGCAAAGTAACCCTGTTCTCACAAACTGCAGATCACAAATGGAATAAAGCCTGCTGTTACAAGCAAGGTGGCAGTCTGCTGAACTGGAGCAAGGCAATGGAAGCAGTTATTTTTCCCCTCCCAGGCCATAAGACAGCAGCATTGAGAAAGGACTATGGGCTGCAACAAAATCCGAAATGAAGTTCCCATGGAAGATGCCTTAAAATTCACATGTAGTATTCCCCTGTAACACTTACCCTGATTCTCAAGAGAACATTCTCAGATTAACAGACTGGCATATATTTGAGTGATGATTATGGAGATTCCATAGCCCGCTCTCAGTCATCTTTTCCAAGAGACAGGGTAATGACAACAGCAAGAAACAAGCAAGAAAACCAGCAGACTACAGCCAAGTCAGGAGTCACAACTAGCGTATTTTCAAGAAAAACGTGAAGATGTCCTTTACATCAGACACCCCAGGATGTCACATGTAGCTTTCAAACATATCATTTTTCTCAGTTATTAGGTAGGAGAGACTTATTTTCAATGAAAGCAAACAAGAATTATCAGTGTCCACATATTGACTCAATCTCCAGAATTGCGTAAGTCTTCACACAGCGATCAGTGTAACTGGCTGAAGGGCATCAAACTGATAAGACTTGTCTTCTGACAGTCACAGCATATACAGAGCAGGAACACAACTCTTTCCTAGAAGTTTGTTTCAAGGAAGTTTTAATAAGTGATTTTGCTAGCATGTTTAAACCTTCCAAAAATGAACAGCCGCATTTTGACAGTCTCTCTTGTCATCTGAAAAAAAAAATGCTGGTGGGCTGAGCTCTTTATCACTTGTAATACTCTTTCCTTAGAGCCTTGTTGCCAGAAGGCTGTCCTGCCTTCTCCTGAGCTTGAAAGATACTGAAGCATATCAAGTTCTCAGATAAGATTTCCTCCCCTCTCCCCATTGTGGATCCCACCTACTACCCCACACTTGAAAACTCATTGCTATCTACAGACAGAGATTTCAAATTATTTTCCCCGAAGAAACCTGCAGCGTTTTAGTGATTAAAACATTTAAAATCAGATAGGGTGGTGAGTAAGAGAGAATTGGAAACAAAAAACTTTCACCATACCATGTTCCTCAACATGCTCAATGCACAGCTTCACGAACTTTGGCACCGTGCTGTTTTCTCTTTGACACAAGCTGGTGAGATTGGAACCAAACACTTGATCTGGAACCAAGTAAAGAGACTGATTTACAGTGGAACAGGACTCAAGTGACAGAACTAGTTCAGGTTAAAACAAACCTCTACAAAGGGCAAAGACTACTGGATACAATTGTCGCAGTATTAGAGTGAAAATAGGAAAGTTTTGAAAAGAGCTCTCGGCAGCTCCCAGCAAGAAAAAGCTCTCAGTAAGAAAAGGTGTCAGCAGTTACCCAAATGTGAGTCTCTGAGTAAGGAACTTTTGCTACTGACATTATTTTAATCCATCAGGAAATGCTTGTAAGAGTCATATAGTCATTACTGTACCGAGAAATTTAATGGATGAAAATATCCTGTTCTGAGTTTAAAATACACTTATTATAATCTTTGTTAAAAATCTGAACAGAGATAATAAACTTTAACCAAAGTGTAAGTTCTTGGCATCACTTGCGGGAAAAACCTTGTAAAATTTCATCTTGCATTGCACCTACAGTTTAACCCATCATTATGTATTAATTGACTTTAATGTAGACTCTTTACCTTTTAACATCATTAAGTTCTGACATGGATTTTTAAATGGAAGACCTGTATACCACAAAGCTCTGAATGCACAGGCAACCTGGCTGCAAGGTTGGAATCCAAATACAGATATTTGTGGGCAAAGGTTATTTTGAGGGTTTGTTTTCAAATCTGCACAATCCAGAGGGATTGTTTCCTATCATGAACTGGAGCAAAAATGAATATCAGCTTGGGCAGAGATCAGATTCTTGTAATGTCTTAGAGTATTTCAGCAACATGTTAAGTCCTCTTGTTCAGGTTATGTTGTCAGCAAAATTCTCTCTCAGACCCATTTCTACAGCTTTCATCAAAGATACCCAAATGCTAGATGACCTCCCCGTTTCAGATGCATGAGATTGAACTAGGGTCTTGAGAGAGAGAGGCAAAGCTCACACTCTTAAAGGAAAGAATGTCTGTGGTGGGTTTTTTTCTTCTTTAATCCATTAGCTAAGGTATGTAAGTGTCTGTCTTCGCAGTATCTAGTAGATCTTACTTCAGAGCTTATGCAAGAGAAACTGTTCTTGCATTTGCATCATGCATAGCATCTAGCCCATTTTTCATGTTTAGTAATTTAAGCAGATTCATTAACAACACTTGCATCTAACTACTGCTTTGGGAAATCCAAACAGCACACCAAACCAATTATACTGTATGACAACTGGCACATAATGGTATTATTGGCTGTATGCGTACAAGGCCAGCGCTCCCAAACACCTCAGTCCTGCCGCTGCTGCTCACGCAGCCGGCTGTATAAGCTGAGTCAGTAGCAAGGGATTGAAAAAGCCCACGCAGGAGAAAGCCAGGCTAGCACGCAGCTGTAGCAGGTAAAGCAATGCAGATTAGGCAGCACAAGAAAATACTAGCATGTAACAAACTGATTTGCTACAATTGCCTCTGACTTTAATGGTTTCCACATATACAGGAGTAACGTTTTTTCCTCTCATCTTAAAGTAAATTTTGTAATTTTGTTTTTCATGTAATAAACTTTAGTGCAGGTACTTATCTGCTTAGTGCATGCTGTTTCAAATGTGGTTTATTGGGGGTTTTTTGGGGTTTTTTAAGAACTTGTTTTTTTCTGCTCCTACTGGGTTTGCCAATTTTTCCGTTTACTAAGCTTGTTCTGTAGCAGCCACAAAAGAACACTCAGCTTTTAAATAAAGACTTCTGTATTTTTCATTCATATAGTAAATGTAAACAGAACTGTACAGTGCTGATCCAACTTTTAAACTTTACACCATGCTTTTAAATAAAAACAAACTCTCCATTCCTTAATGTCTTTATTAAAAATCCAATCATCAGCACACATGTGTACAAATTAAACTTGACTTAGCATTCACTGTTGCTAATGTCAGAAGTTATGTCACTGATCCATGACATGAATACTAAGCTGTAAAGCAGAGCAAAACGTCAAAGTCTGGGAATAATGTCACCTTATCCCAAACAAAAAACTCATCATTTACAGTTAAATTGTACTTGCAGATACACAAATACATCAAACACCACATGCAACAGAAGCACACCTGTTAAAGTATGTAGTTAGGCAAATCACAGAAGGATTTGGTCTGATATTTGCCTACCCATATGCTATTTTGACCCTAGTAGAGCACCACCTACAAGTCCTGCTAAAGCATACAAATAAATAAATAAGTTTTACGGTGAGTACCAAGTCAATAATTTCCACAAACACATTAACTTAAACCTGTGCAAATACTGTTCTCTCACAATTTCTACAAATGTGACAAACGGAAATCAATTCTTTCCTAAGTTTGATTCAACAACATCTGTAAGAGTCATTGTTTGTAAAACAATTTTAAAAGTGTATACATTCAAAAAAGGTTAGGGAAAAAAGACATTTAAGGTAATATTCCTTTAGCCTCATCCTGGTTTGCCTAAATATTTCATTTCTTATGAGATGGTACATGATTGTCTGGTTCCACTCAGACCAAACCACCCTTGTATAACAGGTAAGCACATGCATTCAGCTTTATACCCAACAGACTTTTCCTTCCCTTGTGTGCACAAATGATTATCAGCTATCTCAAGTTTCCAGCTCGGAACAGCAGACTGAATGGACTCTCTAGCTAAGAAGGATTTCAAGCCCAAACATGCTCCTGGGCCCTCAATTTTCACTGCAGCTTTGGCAGTAATGAGCTGAAGGAGCGGACATCCTCTCTGAAGTTCAGTGGCTAGCAGCAGTGCTCAGAAGAATGACAATCAATCACCACTTCCACTATACAAGACTTTTTTGAAACCAGCTATACACATGTGCTTTACTCTCAAACTAGACGATATTAACCCCATTTTACACATGAACTACTAAATTCAGCTTTTCAAATTATATCCTTTGTTAAAAAGGTTCATTTACCCTTAATGTAGCCTTTTTCACGGACAGCTTGTAGCGTAGGGCGCCGTGTGAGAAACTTCTTGAGCTTTGTTTTGGTCTTTTTCTGATCTGTAGAATCTATATTGCTGGGTGTTTTCACTGCTGAAAGGAGAAATGCATTTCGCATGAATATCCACAGAATCAACGCTGCATTTATCTCACAAGGAAACAGCATTTAAAAAAAAAAAAAAAAAAAAAAAAAAAAGAAAAATTTAAGCTCCAAACCACATTAAAAACCTATTCAAATTTGCACTGCATCCAAATTTTTTTCCTTAACCTTTTGGAACTCCTTGTAAATAGCATCCATTTTTCAAACCAAGAGACAACCCTGTTACAAAAAACTTATAAAACTGAGTTTGCCTGTGAAACTAACTAAAAGGTACCTTACATATGTAATTGGTGTGGAATTAAAAAAAGTACAGCTATGTTTCAAAACCAATCTTGCCTTTCATTAATTTAACTATGTTTAAAGAAATAAATACTTTCTTGCAAATTACATATAAGGCCTGGAAGTAAAAGACAGAAAATAGTCTGCCTGATTAATGTTATTTCTGTGCACAGGAAGAAATTTCTGTGGCTAAAAGAAATTTAACTATAAAATTCTGAAGGTGTCATTAAAATTGCTTAGTTTCTCTAAATGAGACAATATAACCTCATCAGCAACTCAGCGAAATTGCAGTTTAAATTAATAGTGCAAATATTTATAGATGCTGTACCACAGACGAAACCCAAGTAAAACAGTTCTAATCAGTTTTGAACATGTAAAATGACAAAACAATCCTCATATAAAACTATTTTTAAAAGTCAGAGGGGAAAAAAAGAAAGTCTAATTACTTCTGTACATTTGACAATACCTTGAAAATAATCCATTTCACTACTGCCTATTTTCTCCTATTTTTCAAGCATCATACAGCAGGAGCTAAAGACATTTGGTGCTTCTTTTTTTTTTTTTTAAAGTATGCTTAATAAAACATGGAAGAAAACTTACTAACTGGCACCAATACGTAGAATGAACTATATTAAAGCCTGTTTTCGAACTTGAGTAGTTTCACTTCTAACTGTCCTTTTGAATTCTATTTATACGTAATACAGAAGATGCAAAAAATAAAAATTGCCATTGCTAAAATCCATTAATGGAAAATTTTCAACTCACAACGAAGTTTCTTAGAGTCTTTATTCTCTTTCTCTTTGTCTTGTTTTTCCACTCCAGGGGAATCTGGTACATCATCTTCTAATGCTTCATCAGACTCTACTACCTATTAGATTTAAGAAGATACAGTGGTCAGCTTACCAATTCATAGAATATAGCATTAACACCACATTTTCTGGAGACAGTTCTACAGTATACATTTTTTCCCCCCTAAAATAATACTCAGTGGGTTCTTCCTGAACTGTAGATGCTAAAAATCTCTTCAGAGATAATACTATTCTCACTGGCAGGGGGAATATCTTTGAGAAACACTATTAGATCATAAGACCCAATAAAGAAAGTTTTGCTGGACACTGAACAAAGTACAACCAGCCTTTCATGATAAAACTTATCAACCAATAAACAATATTAATGTTTTTTTCAAATCTACTAGACAAACATCGGCTATTTCATTTACATGGTCTAGTTAACAGGCTCTACAAAACACTTCTAGAGCATTTACCCTATTTCTAACTTCTGTAATTGGAATTTTCTGTAACAGAAAACAGAATTGCCAGTTGGAAAATTTCACCACTGTCAAAACATACACTGAATTCATTCTGAGAAACTAAATACACCAGGGCCTAAAATCCTTGCCCTGTGTTATTGCTCTCTCAGCATGTTCTCATTAACCAGAGTCAAGAGAAAATGTGGATCATGTAGTGCAGAGGCAAATACCCAAGTCTGTGAAACTGCCCACCCACAGCCTCGCACCTATGCTACGCACGTGACTTCAGACACACCAGGAAACAGGAAAAGAAACTTCCTCTGGTCTCAGTGCAACATAGTCCCTCCCAAAATCGTGTATTTCTTACTTTACTTCCACTAAGGTGAACTTGACTTCTACGCAGTTACAAAAATCTGACCGTACAGCATCTTTTGTTACGAGGAAGGACATTGTAAAAAACAAGGCAAGGTTGTGTACTCCAGAGCGCTGAATGAGCGGATAGCTATTCCTCTTGTACAGCATATTGCCACAACAGCAGCCTGAAGGAGCAGAGAGACCAGAACCTAAGCTGTACCCTCTTTTGAAGATCTCATCGCACTAGAACTAACCATAGCTGTCCTGGGAAAAAGACTCACAGCTACTATTACCATAAAGTTCTGAAAATCCGAAGTTTGCTTCAGATCTGATGGATTTTTGTAGCCAAAGCTTCAGGGCTCCAAATTATCAGGTAGTGTAATAACATACACTTTGAACTTTTCCTTGTAATCTTAGGTCTCTTGGCTACCAGCTCCCAGGGGTAACACGTCACCGTTTGCTCCAGAGTGGTGATAAACTCTCCCTATTCCACCACTCACTTCCTCAACTTAACATGCGATACCTCGGTCTCATCTCAGCTGTATCTCAGCCTTTCCATCTTCCTTTATATTTAAGCAGGGAAGAAGTGGCCTCAGTTGCGTTACACAGGGCAGACAGGAGAAGGGTATCGCTGAGTGACTGCTTTGCCTGGTTATTAGGCGTCATGACATTTTCATACTAGGAGAGAGCAGCAGATTAGGAGCCTAAACCCTGAGCACTCAAACTAAACCATCCATACTAGCCTGCTGTGTTTGGGTGGAAAACACCATCAGAGCCAAGAGAAATGAAGACCACTGACTGCATGGAAAGCAACATAAATGCAGCTTATGGGCAGCAGCCAGGCCTGTAACTATAAACATTAAGAATATACATGAAGTCAACTTGATATAAGAGGAATATTTTCTCCAAGACCTCCTCCAACTTCTGAATTCAAAGATGGTAAATCTTGTTTGGCAATATCAAGAGCAAATGCTTGATCACTTTTCTATTGCTTAAATAGTTGGCATTATGCTGTCTGACAAGACGAGATAACAGTATTTTGCCAGGGCTTTTAATTTGCATTGTAGTGCAGCATTAAGTCAATGGCAGTGTCAAATGCCGATTGAGTTATGTCATGAAGGAACAACCCCTTAGCCATCCTTCCCCCTTTACTCCCTCTCTATCAGAAACTTTCAGGTCACTAAGACATAACAAGTATTTGGCCACAGAAGGAAGCTCTTTTCTGAGCTGCAGGTCAGCCCACATCTCCCGGTTCTTAATCCAGTGGACCATCCTTCTTCCTTTGCCACTATTAATTTTATTTCACTTGTCACCACCAGGAACTGCCATAACCTCAACCTCCTGCCCATGCTCCAGAAAAATCAGGAAATGATTCTAGTACATGAAGCACTAGGAGTTGTTACATCAATTATTTTACTAAACAACAGTACGTTGAAAATAGAGCCTTCGTGATTCAAACACATACCTGATTGTTGATGGTATAGTTAAGAACTTTGTACCACTCATTAATAATGCTGTCGTTATCAGATTGAATTAAGAGCTCAGTTCCTTGGCGGGTTTTTAGCTTTAAAGAAACAAAACCAGGTATCATCAGAATTGAATAACACACTAGAATTCAAAAGTTAAATTACCCAAATCAAATTAAACTTCTCCCTGGCACAACTTATACATTACGTATAGCCACTCAAGAACACTTACCAGTGAAAAGAGTAAATAAGAGTCTGCTTAAAATTGAAAAGCATATCCCATACAGGCATATTAGAAATGGACATTTCTTGCAGGTACTAAGATACATCTACATTTGAGCAGGAAAACATGTAGAACACTCAATTAAAATTTTTGATGTTAAGTTTAGGGAAAATTTCTTAAGTCATTAATTAAAGTACAAATAATTCTGCATTTAAATAAAATAATTCACCTCAATAACATTCTTTTTGCTGGATTTGTCCTTCGAGGCCCAGTCAATCAATGCCCCTTTGAGATCCACTGTAAATTCTGGCTTAGACTGATTGCCAAACTTCTGGGAAAAAAGGAACAATGATGACAAACTTAAAAACAAACAAAGAAAGTCCTAACAATCCTGCAAACCTCTAAAAATAACATACATTGTTTACAGTCTATAGAGCTTAACCCAAATACAGTACTTTGCCACAAATCAACAGGCATGATACCAGGAAAACAAAAACCAAACTAAAACCACACAGAAAATACCCTTTAAGCATGCCCTCTAAAAGCTGCTCAGCTTAAAGCCCTTAAAATTCCGTAAGTTTAAATGCCAACCAGATTCCAGCAGAGCTTTCTTCCCCTATCACAAACAGTAGAAGTCCATATAGCATTTGACTATAGTTTGATTTTAGCCAAGATAGTCCCAAGCTTTAAACAAAACTGGCTAACAAGTAACTGAACAAAAAACCCCATTCTGTCAGTTAATCTATGGTTGTATATAAAACCAAAAATCAAACCAGAAATAGCAGCTTTGCTACAGAGGAATCACATCCCTCCTGCACTGAAAGAGCCCTTTCAGTGTTTACATTTTCATTCTGTATTTCACGTATCTATATATTTTCACACACACACACGATGCTTTTCACATTATGTTTTTCCGTAGTGCTTCTATTGCAATACTGGAGCATATCCTAGCAAGTAGAGAACTCAGTTTCACTGCCTAGCTACTAAACCAACAGCAAATAACCAAAGTGATAAAAAAAAGCATTTAACCCACAAATAACCCTTCAAACAATTTGGAGGAAAACATCAGGGAGCTATTTTTTTAGCTACTACTTTTACATTTATAGTAGGTATCACAATTTTTTAAAATAAAGTACTTTTACTAGCATTTCAACCAAGACCACACAGCTTTGAAATATCATTCCTCAAGGAAACCAGTTCAGTGACCCATACAAACAGAAAGCTCTGATTGAGAGTAAAATAAGTAAAACACGGAACAGAGAAAGCTGTAAGTCACTTGGTGGTAGCACAGAAATTTAATGCTGTAGTTCTAGGGGAAGCTTGTAGCACCCGATACATCAGAAAAGTTCTTTTCTGTTTTTTTTAAAACGTCTTTGATGTGCAAATGCTGTTCGTGTGACAGCTCTGGGGGCCGTAAGCCCCAGGACAAGCTCCTCACTGCGAACACAAGTTTCCAACCTGTACAACAGCAGCCATATCCAAGGGGAGAAAAAACGGCTCAGAAATCAGAACTAATCTGCTGCTTCTAATTAAATTCCCAGCATAGATGTTAATTAATGCTAATTATGTTTTAGAAAGGCTGTTTACCACTGAAAAATCTCCCCTCCTTGAGTCCTAAGGGCAATTAAGATTCTGCTTTCCATTCAGCACTTAAGCTTCTTCATTTTACCCGTGAAATATCAGAATAGGGGAATATTTCTAGTCTACCCAATGCCAACTAGCACTTGAAAAAAACCCCAGAACCTTCCATTTTGTAACTTAATTCTCAGATACCTCACCCAAGAACATTTCTTATTGATTATAGTAGAGCTTTTGAGAGAGGCCTGGCTCAGCAGTGGAGTCCACAGGAACAGGACCAATCTTACGGCTCTTGCAGTGGCAGGCGGCTATGCAGCAGCTGCCTATTTAAGACAGATTCACGTAACTCCTTCACGTACAACCCAAGTGCGCCAGCCACACACTTCCCGACAGCCTGGAACAATCTTGCTGCATGTTGGGGGCAGAGGGGGAAAATCAATTTGTAGAGTTTGGCACTGGAGAGACTAGGAGATGAGTCCCAAAGTCCTCCACAGGATGAGAGGGGATTCATTAAAAACATCGCCCAGATGATGCTGAGACGCACAGGAGATGACCTGCTACAGATGAAATCAGCCAGCAACAAAAATGAAATAGCCACTGCTGTTTTGACCATAAGGAAAGCCCTCCAACACATTAGCTTGCTGAACTCCCCACCTGACAGACCACAGTGCTACCTCAAACACCTTTGCACTCTACCCATGTTTTTCACAGAATCATAGAATCATTTGGTTGGAAAAGGCCTTTAAGATCACTGAGTCCAACTGTAACAGTCCACTACTAAACCAGGTCACTAAGCACCTTCTCTGCTCATCTTTTAAATACTTCCAGGGATGGGGACTCAACCACGTCCCTGGGTAACCCATTCCAGTGCCTGATAACTCTTACAGTGAAGAAATTTTTCCTAATATCCCGTGGCGCAACCTGGGGCCATTTCCTTTTGTCCTATCGCTTGTTGCTGGGGAGGAGAGACCGACCCCCACCTCGCTACAGCCCCCTGTCAGGCAGTTGTGGAGGATGGTAAGGTCAGCCTCCTCTTCTCCAGGGTCAACATCCCCAGCTCCCTTAGCCGCTCCCCATCAGCCTTGTGCTCCAGATCCCTCACCAGCTTCGTTGCCCTTCTCTGGACACGCTCCAGCACCTCAATGTCTTGGCTCCCTTCAGCATTTCAGAGCAGCACAGAACAAATCAAAAACTAGAAGCTAAATTTCTCAGAGGGGGGGGGAAAATGAAGTCTTCCCCCATTCCTTTGCACAAGCAGTGCCCAAACCATTCTGTGAGATCCAAGGATGGGGAAACCCATGCGAACAACCAGCCTCTCTGCAAAGCTCCTCTGATATACCAACACATTATATACTCATCATAAACTTAACCTCTTTGTTCTAAGCTTAGCATTCAGTCTCTCCTATGAGCTTTCCTGTCGAGGTTCTTTTCTGCTGCTAGGTGTACGAAAACAAGATGCCGGCAGCCATTTCCCTCCTTGAAAGCTTCCAGGAGCAAGTCCTGTACAGGGCTGCTCAGATGCTCTGCATGCAAGGGTTAGCTAAAGGCAATCGAACATACGGAAGGCATGCAGGTTTTGTTGGGAGCAGTAAAAAGAAAACTTTTCCCTTTAGCATCTGCTGCCACCTAGACATAAAGCCAGCTTTCTCAACACAGTGCACTGCCAAGTCAGCACTAGTTGGGATAAATTCAATTCTTACTGAGCAGACACCTTATTCTTACTGGATTTCTTTTTTTGAGCTGTCTGGGAAGTTTGAAAGGACAGCAGCATGAGACAAAGGTCTGTGCACGGCGCTGCCAGCTGTCCTAAATAGGAAGCTGTCCTAGAGTCACTTCTGACAGCTTTTTCTAGGAAAAGAAGTGTAGTCATGGGATGCACTTACTGTATTTCTACGGCAGAGATAACTTCTACTTTTTTGAAAGAAGGGGGAAGGGGGGATTAGTTCAGACATAGCAGGTGCTATGTAGCTTAAGGACTGCCTTGAAGACATGTGCTGACACCAATAACTAGAAGGCCTTTTCAGTCTTCTCAGGAGTTTTCCCCAAGTCCTGGAAACCTCCATAGGACAGGCCACGCAGTCTGCATTGTGGTCCATTCCAGAATTTTTTGGAAACAGAACTGGCTGTTATTTATGGGAACACTTTGGATGTACAAATGACACCTGCCATTCTCATAATTCTGTTTCTAATTAGTGTTGGGTAGAACATTTTAATTCCAAGTCCTCCTCACCCACACATGGACTGTGGAAATAAGAGCTGAGGAGACAGATGCTCCTTTGTGGCTGGTAAGGGAGCTTCAGAACTTAAGAGCTTTAACAAAAAAGAAAAATATAAAGACATTTTTTATTGTCATAGCAAAATGATGGAAGGTTTTTGAAGCCAGACTCTGACAGGAGTATTTGCATTCCAAATAGTTTTCATTATAATCATCTGAGCTCCTGTATAATCAGCTGTGCACTACTGATGAACTGTAGTAACGTACACGTAACATCCTTGGCTATAAACACAGTAAACAAGAGTTTGCCCAGATGAACCTTGAAGAGCATTTATTGCCTTGATGAGAAGGCCACCACTGTGGCTGACACTGAGCACATGAGCCTGCTACAGAAGGCAGACAAATGAATCCTCCTAAGCAGTTACCATTTGCTGGTTTTATGAAGCCCCATCGCTAAAGTTTGGCAATAGCTATTACAACTCATTCACACCAAAAGCTGAGAGACACCTTCCTTCAGCAGCTGAAAACTTAAATTTCTGTGAAAGCCATATTAAAAAATCCAAAGATTTCCTTATAGAAAGTAGCATTTTAAAGGATACCAAACTGTACAAATTATCTGTTGCAGGCTTCCACATACATAGCAGTGAATTTGACAGACAAGGAAAAGGTAGTTGCATCATTTTTAGCACAAGGTTAATTGAATAGACCTACAATTACTCCTCCCTACAGGGAGAAAAAAAAAAAAAAAAATAAGGTACCGGTCATCAAAACAGTCATTCTAGAAGTCTCAGTAATCTTAACTAAAATCAAAACATGGAGCTCACTCTCCACTCTTCAGGAAATACAAGCCAAGACACCAAAATAGTTTTAAACATCACAATACTTTAAAACCCTCACAAAGTCAAATTATTGAGAATTGCTTTTAATGTCTTCAGCATATGATTTTTTCCATGAAAGCTCGAGTTTGATTCTGATGAGTGCTGAGAAAGCAATACTAAAAAAAAAAAAAAATTATACAGCCAGTCAAGTCTTTTTGTTTCTTACAACACTAGTATCATCTAAATTCCTCCTCATCCATCTTGAGCAACAAGCTACCGTATTAGCTACCTACATTTTATTAGTTTCTGACAAGCAACACTTCTATGGTTGGCATCTGCACTTAAAAACATGACTAATTACAGGTGCTTAAATTTATATGTAGAGTCCTACAAATTTACATCAGCTTTCTGTATGTGACATATAGCCAGAACATCCTTCAGCTCTTAAAAAACTTTTTATGCAGAACATTTACATTTTTGGGTATTCCAATTACAGCTAGAATTAACCAACATATACATCATTGTATCAAAGGCATCATAGGCACCGTACAAACATCCTAAATTAGCTGTGTTAGAAATAATCAGACATAAAATATCTGTTAGAAAACTAACCAAATCGTGCTGTCTATTAGTCAAGTCTCTAGTGGTTCAAGGATTAGGCAGATTTGGGATTATAATTCTGGCACTGAAGAACAAGATAATCTTTCTATTTCATTCCATTAGAACTATTGCAGGATTATTGCAATATGTGTGTTAATTTGCACCTTGGATAACTTTCAGAAAACAGCAAACAGGATACGCAAGGTGTTATATGAAATGACAAAACTTAAACCTTGGAAAAGCTCAAATTTACTTTCAAGATTAGTGGCAAATAGCCTTACAGTGACAAGAGGCATGCAACAAGAACACATACAGTGATAGCTGAAACTTGGTCAGAGTTTACATAGGTGACAGCAGGTCGACGACTGAGAGCATTTTTCCAAGAAGAAAGCAGCGAGAGCAAGAGCTCAGGAAGTGAGCCCCCTTGGCAAAATGACTTGATGAGAAAAAGGAAGAAAAGTGATGAAGTCACAAAACAATGCACTCACACACACACAAAAAAAGATATGGTTATATCAATCACTAGACGAATGCTCAACAAATATTCTTCTCATAAGATGAAGAAATGGAATTCTTCTATGTCAAACTGTTACACTGGACTTCACCTTATTAAAATACTGATACAGATCAAAGTTTGAGGTAAGGTGGAAGTTTTAACAACCAAAAAAATTTCCCTACGCAGTGGGCAAAAAGAGCGCATGCTGAATATTTAATTACGTATTTACAAAGCCAACTGCGAGTATGCAGGTATACAACAAAGTCTTTGAAATATTAAGTTATAGTATGTTATAATATTAATATTTCCAGCTTCTCTTAATTCTGTTCATACTGTTGGTATTTATTTTGCTGACCCTACTCCAATACTTGACAGTACACATATCTGACAAGTCTCATCACAGAAGTATTGTGACTATGACACTTTTGCTCCACTTAAATTGTCAAAAGAATTCTTTTTCCACCAAATGACTGCATTTAGAAGGTGTAACACAACTTATACTAATATCCCTAAGTAATAAGCGGAGCTGCATGACTATCTTTTATGGATAAGTCATTTGGGCATACATACATTCATAACAGTATCATACATTCATAAACAGTATCTTTGTTTAGCACTGTGTATTTTAATACCACCAACGTATAGTTAAAATAATGGGGGTTTTGATCTACAGCTACATTGGGATTAAGAGCACTAGTAGCTGTAATAGAGTTTTTGGAACTTCATTAGTTACTCAGGTGAAATGTTTTACTTTCCAAACATGCTTATTTATACCTATAAAATTAAAGAACTTTTTGGATCCTTAGCTATAAAAGTAAATTGCAAAAGTTATCAGTTTCCATCATTAATATTAGCTTGCTGCAAAAATAAGAGTATTCTTTGTGCACTCAGAGTAAATAACAGCTCACCTCAGAATGGTGAGGATTTTTCCACTTTATGAAGCAGGGTGATGAAATTGAACCTGACTAAACAACAACGACTGAAGGGCACGAAGGAAGGTAAGGGAACGAGTTTTAAAACCTTCCAAATGCCAGTACTTCCTGCTTTAAAGCTCACCTTTTAAGGTTCTTCACATTTCTTCAACATACTTTGTTATAAGAATTATAGTAAAAAAATCCACGAGTTCTGTTCATATTCTTATTGGCAATATTTTTCTCACTGATGAATAATGGTAATTATGTTTACCTAGTGCCCCAATGTTTACAGATGGGAAAGTCAGTAACTTTCAGATATACAAGTTTCTATTCATTCTTCTGTGCTTTGTCTCTGATATGCATCACATTCTCTTCCCCTTCTGACACGTGGTATGGGCAGACCTCCTTAGGTCACCACGTCCACTTCCTACCAGACAGCATAATTTACCTTATCTCATGTCTTTATTCTTTTTCCTTCCCTTCTGCTTGACTATCTTGCCCAGTTTGACTCTTTCCATTCTCTTCTACCCTCAATGTTGTTATTTATCTGACCTCACCCTTTTTTTTTTTTCCAACCACCTCTTCTACAGCAACAAAAGGGCAAAAAAATTATGTTTGCAGCTCTGAAATGACTCGGTGCTTTAGAGAAGTATTGTCAATACCAATTCACTACCCAAAAAGAAGTGCAGCAGGAGAAAGTGAGCCAAGTAGAAAGATCAGCAAAGCACAGCAAGATAGCATATACCCATAAGATTAAATTTTGCTGGAATTCACATGATAATACACTAGAACAACGAATACTGAATCTGACCTCTCTTTAGTTATTATAGGAGATCCACAGTTTAATGTCAGACCTCCAAAAGTAGGTAAGTAAGCCACAGATAAAGAACCACTTCTATACCTATTAATATAAGAATGCAGCTGGATAAATATAGCCAATTTAATTATAGTGCTATTAAACTAGAGATTATATAAAAATTGAATAATCATCATCTTCAGTGTGATGTTTCTCTTTAGGTCTTCATCAGACACCAAAATAGATATAAATACTTGTCATGCACCTTGCAGATATAAAACAAAATATGGAATCCAGCAAGGCAAAAGACTAAACAATAAGGCAACAATACAACATTATTCAAATAGTCCAACGGAACAACAAGTCAAGTGTCAGACTATTTTATTACATGTATCACATTCAAAATTACCCGGAGTTTATGAAAAAATATCCAAAATGGTAAAACAAACTGTTTAGACAAACACATTAGTAAGGAACACAAAAAACATTTGGCCTGGAGCAAAATCTTCAAGCTTGCAGGGCACCTAAATACCTCTTTATCGGTTTCTTACTTAAATATAAAAATGTTTCTGAAATAAGAAAGTACAACTGTTTTTCTTCTCATTCTACATCATAATTGTTACATTAAACTATTTAGCTGCTAACTTACACACACTTATTTTTCTAAATTATGCATGCATATCTGTATTTAAGCCCCACAAATAAGAGGGCTTCAGTTTATTGTGCTTTACGTGATTAACACTTAAATGAGGGTGGGGGTTGTTCGTGAGCTTACCCAGCTAGTTCCACTTCCTTGGGTTTTAGTGAACAGCAGTGATGAACCTTGTAACACTGCCCACGATGACATCCAATTTTTTCTGTAAATATTTGTAAACAACCATAAGATAAATTGAAAGTAGATATTTAAACTGTCAATCATGGCTGCCCAGCTGACCTGCTCGTTAATATACTTAATCATATATACAGTCATTACTGTCATCAGTAACTCTTAATTGCTATCATATTTGTAGAAGAGAACATATGTTAACAGTCCCAGCCTGACCATCAAAGTCTAAATCAAACAAAGCTAATTAGTAGTGGAAGCAGTTCACCAGGACAAACACCATACAATTATAATTTCAAAGGGGCTAATCTGGAGCACTCAGCCTACTGTGTACTTAGTAGATTATCCCAAAGTACTGCATAATTCTAAAATTAATTGATGACATCTAACTGGGATGCAAGTGTCCACATTTATGTAATAAGCTCATTTACATTGGCAATAAAATATTTGCTACACATCTAAAAAATGCAGAAAAAGAATGAGTTGTTCCAACTGTCTGTTTGCTTTTATACCTGTGTACCTGTCCTCCTGAGGTTAAAAAAATAAGCCTTGACAATCCCTGACAATCTATTCCCATCACCCAAACATGAATTATTATTCAACAGCTCTCAAAGTGACAGGATGGCCATGTTGCATCTTTCTGTACAGCAGCCCAGTAATCCAGATCAACGATTCCAAGAGATGCAACATAAATGGTAAGAGCATACGGTACCAGTAGCAGCTGAGCCGCTGTCCACCCTTTCCTACCAAGCTCTTAGGAGCAGCTCTGAGGAACCAAACTTGGGGGTCAGATGTGCTGCCCAGCTGCACCGGACTAGGTCAGGGTGGCTCAGAAATATCAACTGGGTGCTGACTATTTAATCCTCAGAAAAAGCATCTTTCATGTATGAAAAAGTCCGGGAAAGACTGAACTAGGTATAACACAGTATTAGACCTAAAAGATTAAATTAAAAAAAAGTTTAAAAAGTAAAAAGTAAACCTAAATTAAATCCGAGGATGTGCCACACTTATGCAGTATTTAGCACTGACTCTTTGCAAAACACCAGAAATGTAAGTTAAACAGCATTACTTGATTATGCATTATGATTTATAATGTAAATGCCTGCCTGTGAGGCAGAGAAAGGAAGTTAGAAATGAGGTCATTCATCACCTACAGGGAGACCAACACTGGGCAACACATTCTGCTTCAAACCCTTCACAAGTAGAGTGAAGGAAGAATTAGGGAGCACATGACATGCGCTCCTTGGAAATTAAAGGAGATTAAGTGAAAGTCTGAAAGCCCCCTTACACCAACTCTATCCAAGGAACAAGACTGGCTATAACCTATACAGATTTTCTTTTAAATAAATAAATCAATCCCATTTTAAAAAGCTGTCTCTCATTAGTATGCCTTCATGAAATCACTGCCATGTGTGGAGCCCCACCATACGTGAGCCTCTGGCTCTGAAGTCCATTATCTTCAGCACACTGGGAGAAACACACACTTTGGGATAAGGAAATGCTGTGTCCTACAGGAAAACCACTACGGCAAATCCAGACAAAAAGTAAGAAACTGCAAAACCCGATACGCTGTCCGAATACACAAGTCCTTTATGCACATGTACTTCTAAAGTCCAAGACTTACCGAACTTTCTTCCCATTTTCTGTAATTTTTGTCACATTCAATAACCCATACTTCTCTTGACCCTGTAAGATAAAGACATAACAAATATATAAGCAAATCAGCTTCTAATGCCATCACAGCACCGAATTCAATCCCCCGAATAATAAATTTCTGGCAGTAAGCCATCTTTGCCCATGTTACAACATCAAGAAACTGTCATAAGTATGTTTAAAAATGCAGAGATCAGCAAAATCAAAATTCCCCTGGGAAAGTACCCATTACCATTCAGAGGGTAAAAAGCTTTCCTCCTTCAAGGCCTAGGTTCTTTGGACAAACGGAACTAAATCTTTTGTGGTACTAGACAGTGGAAATTTAGACGTAAATTTATAATGATTTGTGTAATAGCACATTTGTGTTTGTGTCCTTTACTTGAAAAGGAGATGACTGACAAACAAACAGCCTAAATTCTATGACAAAATTCTTCCAAGTTATTTTAACATAATTGCATATTTTAAATAAAACGTCGTTGAAATGCATAAAAATATGAACATATTAATTTCAAAAACAGATGGGTGAAACATTTCTTTGATGTTCTATTTCTTCCTATCCCCAAGCAAAATATTAGAATTTTTAACTTAGTCTTGCTGATGAAAATCATTTATATTTGTATGCCCCTGCACAAATTTGGAGATCAGTCAGTGAATGGTGGAAAAAGAACACCACTGAACAAGAAAGGTATTTGCAAGTTTCAAATGTTTAGAATGAGTATTTCTAGTTTCTATGCAAAAAATAATAAAATATAAAGCAATGTTTGAAAAAATATTCTACGATAAAAAGGAAAACCATTGATTTCTTTGTGACTCTCAGGATGAGGCAACAAATTCTGTCATTTTCTCCTGTCACACAAGCCTTGTCCTACCAGTGAACAGTGCTAAAGGAAGGGTAATTTTCTTTTTTAATCAATTCCTTTGTATTGTAACAGCTTGTAACAGTTCCTAAATTAAGAACTAAGCTATTAGTTGAAACAACCAACTAGGGAAAATTAGTTTTATCATAACAAAAAATGTCCTCAATTCTAAATCAAATGAAAATAGAAGATACATTCTCTCCAGCATTCTCCTCTAAATCTCAAATTTAAGTGGACCACAACTGCAGAATACGACATCGACTAGAAATTTTTTTGCTGGAATACTGTGACAACACTCTTACCAGAGACATAGAACTGTTTTTCATGAACCATAGAAATTTTATCTATGTGTGTCAAGCATAGCACATAAAATACAAAAAAATAAAAAAGACACATTTTCAAGGTTAAAACTGTTCAGCTGGTGGTTCAGATGTTATTTCAGTCCAATGGTACCTGCTACTCTTAATCAATCCAATATCTCCGTTGGGCTGGAATGCTTTCCCAAGCCAGTGATACATACATTATTTTCCAGAACTGATATTTTCAATAGAAGAAATGAGTCGCTTCCCTCCCCCATTCTTTAGATCACTTTATTTGTGATCCATGCAGACCACCACTAACAGTCCTATACATTGCACCCTTCTAACAAGCCTCTCGCTTTAGGAAGTGGAACCGCCTGTCACCATCTTTCACAGTGACTGAGCAACCCATGCCCAAATAAACTTGCTCAAATAAATTACGGCTTTAATAAATTACTCATAGTGAAACCAGTGGGAATGCTCCAAAGAATAATTATTCAGAAAAAGTATCATAATGCCCTACTTAGCAGCAACACTAGGGGGTACTAATGTGAAAATTAATGTAATCAGGGAAAAAGAAGCAGAAAGCCAGTTAAGGATCAAAATACACAACAATTCACCAGCTTTCTTTGTAATATTTAAATCCCAGGGGACAGGTAAAGAAAATAAAGATTATTTTTTTTGTGTTACCTAAAGCAGCATTAAGTTCTTCTACAAAATACAATTTTAATAATTCAAGGTCTGAGCCATATTTATAGAAATTAGACTACATGCTGCAAAAATTGCTTGTGTGTAAGGCTATCAACTATGCCAGCTTAACAAACAATGTTTATTTTATTCTGGAAAGCTGTTTGAAGAGTTGTAAGAATGGTTCAGAATGAATAAGCCAGAGAAATATTCCTCTGTTTGCATGAATGAAACAGAAGTTGTACCTTCAATGTCCTGAGCTACCTACTAAAGGCCTGCTAAAACTGATCAAGGCACATATTTCAGTGCTATTGTTGTACAGTTTCAAAATTAAATATATATATCTATATAAAAGCTGCTTTTTTTTTTTTTTAGTTATTTCCCCCTATTTAAAAAGCAATGCTCACATACACTCAAGCAAAAAAAAAAAATCTGTATAACATTCATAACAAGTTTACCAAGCTTAAATTTTCCTACCAAGAATTATTCTATTAAATCAAAAAGGCATAGTTTATTTATGCCAGGTCCTTTGTGTCTTTTCAAGGAGACTGAAACACAAGTAAAAAATAAAGATATCTAATACTACAAACTACTGACAGTGAGATATTCTGTGGAGAGGGGGAGTTTGTTTCTACTTCTACCTTCCAAGTTGCTAGGTGAGAAGACATGACTGTTCAAGGAAGCAAACCCAGTTCTGCATAATTTGACACAACTTTATTCCACAGTGAATTTTTAACTTAACCTCCTATTGCCAAGCTGTATTTAAACCAAAGACATTCATGTTTTTTCCAAAAGCACAGTTGGATTCAATGCATTCTTTTTGAAATGTAAAGCCTTCAAAAAGTTTTATCCTATTATTTTTCTCAAGAGCAAGCAGGCTTACCCTCAATTCTCTAATCATGAATAGCCCGGTTGCTACAACATCTACTTATCTATTTAAACACTTTGCATACTGACTGTGGCTTGATGCTTTGGTGAAGAAGGAGAGGACTCATTTTCAGGGAAACTGGCCTTAGAAGCAGTTGATGATTCCTATAAAATTCAAATAGACAACATAAGTTATTATCTTTCTTACGATTCTTTTAATTTTTTAAACCTTAAAGACACTTTCTTTCTACTTATACACACTCGCACACTACAAAAAAAAAGTACTTTTTTTAAGCATTCATGATATTCTCAAATAGTTGTATTATAAAACCGCTTACTAAACAGTGTTCTTAGAAGATTTACAGACAACACTCAAACTGGATTAATTAGCACACATCCATTTGAAAAAAATATTAATACATACTCTATCAGCTTAAAGCAAATTTTTAATTCTTATTAAGGGACAGATTTTTTGTACAAAATTCAAATTATGAAGCACATATAGAATACTAATTTAGGGCACATTTATAATACTAACTACAGGGCACCATGCAATAAATACCAAGATTTTTAGAGAACAGATTATGTCTGTGTGGTTAGTAAATATGAGATCAGTACAATAAATTGTTATACATGTAGAAAAGCATATACCAGCTGTATTCATTTTTGTGAGTCATGATCATTAATTTCCTTATAATCAAGCACTGAAAATTTCTATCAGGTTTTGATTTTAAACTAGACATTAACTATGGATCAAAAGAAGAAAGTACTAAATCTCTGAAAACTAGAAAAATCGCTCATCTGGAACAAAAAACCCATGTGCGTTTCCTCTGTAGTAATGATTGCTTTGCACAAACACACCACTGGTAAAGGATTTCAAACAGAAGAAAAACATCACTTGTTCTCCGTTAACACATTTCTCCCCCTCCCTCTTTTTAATTCCCTTGACAGCTCTCCCGAATTCAGTTTGCTTTTCCAGCATTACGTAACACTGCACACCCGTGCTTTAAAATCCGCTTTTAAATCTACCTACAGAAGTGGTCCACTAGTTCTTTTAGTAGTGTAATAACAGAGAACACTAGCATTCCTAAGAACAGGCTAAATGTCCCATGTTTTCAGATGTCCTAAAGGAAAAAAAAAAAAAATATGTTCAAATTAAGGAGATCAAGGTTGTCTCTCCCAGGAAGGTGTTTTTACCTCTGCCGACCAAATTTTTTAGTTGATGGCTATATACAGACATGTGCCACAGCCAATAAAGAGTTTACAAGTACATTTGATATCATCAAATTCTCATCAGCAATGGCAACTCATACTTTCACTCTGACACATTTCAAGCACCCTTTTGACTGGCCTATTTTCATAGAATGGAGTTGTGTTGTTTTTCCAGGAAAAACAAATAAGGAAAAAAACAAGAACATAGCATCCCTAGGAGTCAGCTAAAAAGGTACCTTGAGGTTGATGTGCTTATCCAGCTAAATATCAGTTGTTTTTCTATTTCATTCTGAATTTGAGATAGCTTTCGTACACTAAGCAGCTCTGGGACAAGAAATCTAGTATTTGTGGTCATGAACTATTCCCTTTTCACGTACTAATTTAAAGCCATGTATGTAACAGTGTGCCTGCCAGCAGTAATAAACCAGGCGCATCAATGCACTAAGCAAAATTTGTCTTTCCACAAAACACTAGTTTATTGCTCTACCACACAATTTTAATTTTCTCAAAGCATTAACATTGTGCTTCAGATGAACTATACAGCCTCCTCAACATTAACAAATGCATACAGACATATGTACATTTGCACGTTTCCTTCACTAGGTTTAAGGTCTTTGCATTTGAACACTGGGTCCTGAAGAAAAGTAAACAGCTCCCCTTATTCAATGTTTTACAAGAGCTCCTTCATTCAGTGCAGCACTACATCAAGGTCCTTCCAAGACTCAAGTAAATCTTATGCCAAAAAAATGGAAAGATAAGTCTGCCTTTAAAAGCAAGGCCAAAACTTTAAGCTATCTCCAACAGGACTGTTCATACCTGTGCATTGTAAACTGCATGTGAGGCTAGAAGTGTCCAGCTTTGGTTTATCAGGACTCCGTCTAGGCTGTCTCATGCAGCGCCAGAACATACTCGGTACGGAAGGATGCGCAAGGACAGCTCCGGAGGGGAGCAGAGCAGGAAAGGGACCTCAGAATCGCTCAGGCTAAACTAATGCATCCAGGTGCAAAGTCTCCAGCCAAGCCTGGTCCACTGCCTCCTCAGCACCACATATGATATATCCTAAACTGACAGCTCAAAAGCTTAAGATCAAATCCAATAAATCCTATTCTGAGGAACTAAGTCAACTCATAACAACCCACTCTCCTATACTCCATTTCAATGGGGAAAGCCATTAAAACATACCAGAAACGACAAGTCAAGCAAGTAACATTCTGGGCAGCAGATCCATTTTCGTTACAACTACTGTGTTTTGTCCATTTAAGGTTCTCTTTGACATCTGCAATTACACACGCCCGCTTAGATGCTTTTCTCCCTACTCCCAAATCTACACTCATTTCATTTTTCCCTCTGTCTTTAGAAAAAGGGAGCTTACAACACCGTTTTCTGGTATCTCATTCTGAGTCGTCTGCGTTAAGATTCCAGCCTTACAAAGTATTTCAGTTTCCATCTCGCGATGGACTGCTGCGAAGTTACAGAAACCAGCAAGGCACCACCCTACAACACCCATTTCAGTTCCTCCCCGCCCAGCTCACATCAGGTCCCCTCACCCACAGGCAGAACACCCCCGCACCAGCAGAAACAGCTTGAACAAAAAAGTCAAACCAGAGACAGGCAGAGGGAGAGCAAGGAATAGGCTCTGTCTCCTTGTTGGCCTAAACAGCATCTGCTCCTGTACAGCCCAAAACAGACTATCAAGAACATGCCCTAAGAACAGGCAGAAAATAGCTGTTGTTGTTACTGACCCAAAGCTCTCTTTGGACTGAACTCCCAACTCCACCCTGGAGAGGATCAAAGCCAAGTGTTTCAGCATTTTCAGTACCATCCTCTGTCCTCCAATAGCAATATTACAACCCTGCTGTAACCACACACAACTTTTCCTTTTCACTTGCACTAGTACAGTGGAGAGCAACAAAACAGTCACTAAAGCGATAAATCTACTATATAATGCTACTACCTTTATCTTTAAAGCATTACTTCTGTCTCTAAAGCATAATTTTTGCTTTAGCAATTTCAATTTTATTTTAATTCTATGAATATTTCAATTATTCAACTGCAATCTTTCAAGTGTGTTCCTACTTGGTGTTTCCTGTAACTAAAACACTCAGGTGTGAAATATCACTGTACCTTGCATGAGAACCTCACCCACATCCATAATACTTGAATTAAAACCCTAATTACACTCCACAGCCTAAACTGAATTGGGAAATCCCCAATTATAAGTAAAATGGCTGTACATGCCAAACCCTAAACTAACACTAGTTAAAATACTTCAAGGACAAGAAGAAAAGAGCTACTGCTCGCAAAGTAGCAGCAGTAAAGTTAAACAGCCCTTGTTTTTGCTGAATGTTATACACAATGATACAGCAGAATATAAGAAAAATGCATAGTCATTTCTGTTAAATTGAATACTTCATGCATCAGAAACAATTGGTATTGCAGCATGCTGTTCAACTTGCTCCTACCTTATCGTTGGTGTCCAACACAATCGTGCTGTGCCTCCATTTTGTTAAAACTATTGGTTCTTGTAGCCTCCTGTCCAGACTCCTACTCTTTATTATATCTCTCTGCTGCTGTGGTGAAGCATTATACTACAGAAGAGAAAAATCAAACTATAAGTAGAGTATCATTCATGCAAACAAGACCTGGACATATATCCATACACCTTAACAGTGTAAACTTCCAGATTCCTGATGTCACCCAAGTGAAAATAGCCTTGGTTTTATTTTGCCTTTAGTCTTCAGAACTGCCCTTTTTGCTGCAGTCCTCTCCGAGGCAGTAACTACGACTGGCCTGTCAGGACAATGCTTTCCCTTAGTGAATAGATGTTTGATTTTCTTGTGCAACAGCTTAATTCTGGTTTTGCAACCAACCAGCATATTGAGAACCACCACAGAATTAGAATAAATGCAAGATTTAAACATTCACTCTTCATATTGCACTTACAGTACTATGCCACCCTTCCAGTTCTTCTGCAAGAGAAGGAAAACCCTGTTATCCTGCAGTAATTTAGATTGTGAGTTATGATTGCTTAGATATAATTCTCTTTGACCCAAAGGTTTGGGATGCCTAGGAGAGGAGACATGGGGGTGAGGACTTGCTTTTTCAGAACAATCACATGAAATTACTTATAAAAGGATTTGCTGGTGTGGAATAAGTATGGAAAATAAATATTTAGCAGGGAAGAATTTTAAGACTCAGCAGAGCTATAATAGCCAAGGAGAGAATGGGTTTATCATAACATTGGTTTTCTAATAATTCAAGAGCATCCAAAGATGCAGAGGCTCAGAAAACGCAAAGACCATGGGAAGGACCCAGCACTTAATTAGATCTCAGTATTGCAGCATACTTAGTAGTAACATTGCCATTTTAAATCACCACCACCAACACTGAGGTTGCATTATAAAGAATTATAAAAATATTTCACAGTTTAATACTGAAAATACAATCAAGAAAAGACAACATCAATGTATAGTTTGGGCTTTTTTTTTTTTTTTTTTTTTTTTTTTTTTTTTTAAGTAATTCAAGATCTCATTCTTTCTATTCAGCATCAGAATACCAAAATCCGCACACAGAAAGAAACATAAGGCAGCATTTGCGGAGTCATATAAAGGACTAGAATCCACTGGGTAAGAAGTAACAAAGGAAAGTGCCCTTTTGATTTAAGAAGGCTAAAGCAATGCAAGCACACTGAATTCTACAGTTTTGATACTGATTCCTACTGTAAGCTCAGCGCCTCAGGACTTCAAAGACAGAATAACCTATACGTACACATACCAACAGAGCATGGCAAGTTTTAACCTAAATAACATAAATGCTAAATTTAAGCTAAATTTCATAATGCAGTTACATTTATTGCCCAAATAAAGAATTTGCATTATTACTACCCTGGCAGACACTATGCTTGTGTTAGCTTTGCATTTTACTATGAATAGGGCTCGTGCCCCCATATGTCAATAGATGCTTAAAAGGTAAATGATAAATTCAGTATTCCATTAAATTATTTCAACAGGCACAACAGTGGTAAAATACTCCTAAGTAAATGGATCTTGCAGTACCAAGAATAAAATTTGATAGCTCATGCACAGCCAGAAATGAATTGGTTGTTGCTGTAGAGATTAATTTCTGAGATTACACTGACTTTGTCTTGGGTTCGGCACATTTACACTCACATGACAACTGCTTCCTTATAATGGTGAGGTTTAAGCAACTCCCAGTTTGTTCCCTTGTTAAATCAAAGCTGAACCATCGTTCTTGCCCCAAGGCACCTAATACCAGCTTACTTTCTTGTTATGGAAGTATCCACTCAGCAGACGCTCCTACAACTCAACCTGTGTCAGCAAGCAGTCTTCAATGAAACCATGTCTAGATCACAGAAGGTTGCCACAAAACACGTTCCTTCCAGCAGTTCTAAAGCATTTAAGTGAGCGATTCAAATGTGTTTCTCGCTATGAAACAGAACTATTTATTTCAGAAATATATATACATGCTTCAGTGACACTGGTGAATATTATTTACGGAAATCCTCCATGTACTTTCCATTTGAGCAACTTGAAGAATTTACATTTAAACAGTCAAAGACTTAAAAGTAATTTTTCTTGAATTTAAACCTATACTGAGAGTTGGGAAATAGGCACAGGACTAATTACAGGTGATCTATATTTAAAAGGTGCCTTTGATACCATCACAAGCCACCAGGAGTCAACTTAGCAAACAGACAATCCCACCTTGAAGGAGAAAGGACCTGTAAAGTAATAAGAAATTCTAGTTTTACAAAATATTTAACAAGAAAGCAAAGCTCATTAACAAAGCACTGCTAACAACTCAGAACACTGAGCCATGTATCTTAGCAGCTTAAATAATTTGCACTGGTGATACAGTGTTGGTAAACTAACAAGTCTTTAAAGGGAACATTTGACATTTTTGCCCTGTTTTCTCACAATAGAGGTGTCAAGTAAATATTTTTCACTTAAGCATTTGTAGGGTAGGGGTGTTTGTTTTACTCATTACAAATAGCAGAGCACAGTACTAAGGGGAAAAGAGAGAAAGCTTGTGTATTTCTGGGCTCAAGACAAGCCTCTACTTTTAAAATAAATAGATTGATCTGTTAAGCCCAAAAAGAACCCCAGTGAGACACAGACACTGGTTCAGACTCTGCATTATCCGACCGAACTAGCCATGATTGGGTAGAGTCCACTGGCCAGAGGGAAGCTGCCAGAGCTTTCAGTGACCAGGTCAAGATGCCTCCACCTCTGCTACCCTTCGGTCTGCTCCACCAGCACCACTGCTCCTCCCCAGTCCTCCTAGTTCAAAAAGCCTTGCAGAACGGTTTCAGGTCAGATTAACTTAATGACAGGACTCCTACCTGCAAAGCTGTGGTCTCTCCTACAGGTATCTGCAATGATATTTTCCGCTGCTTATCAGCAACAATAAGCAACTAGGTTGGGCTCTCCTTCCCTTGTGCATGTTATTTACGTAAGTAGGCTTTTTATGCCTAAACCTTGGTGTAATCTTGCAGACAGTGATCAGGCAAGACCCATGCAGTCCAGTAGAACCGACCCATTTCAGACAACACATTGCCTGGTAGGACGATCTCTGTAACACCATGTGCCTTAACATTGCACCCGAAGGAGAGAAGGAGATGCTATTTTTTATTAATTCTAAAGCTTTCGATAATATAGCACAGAACTCCAGACGTGCACACTACTGCTCCTCGAAAATCCTCTACAAACTCAAACTTGTCCCATTACATTAACCCCTCTGGCACATCACCTCAGTTTGCTCCCCATTTCATTGGGACCACCTCCTATCAGGAAGGGAGGACGTGAGCAAGTTGTTCATACTCTGCACGCACCAAGTAACACAAACAGCTCTTGGCATAGGGTTAAGGACACCAGTGCTGTAAATTTAGGTCACACAGGGTTATTTTCATTGCTGAATTTGCTCAATGCCTTCGCCAGTGACTTAAAAGCCTCCTTTGCTTTGGCATAAAAATTTCTAACCCTCTTAACTGGCCAAGTGATTTATATTCAATTTTAACGTGATATGTGGCATGGCTCAAGGCTCTGTTCTAGCCTAATTGTGACTGAAATAAATATAACACCTCTGAGTTATTTGTAGCAGTTGTCCCCATTCTTACGGAGATGACACAGATCTGTCAGCTTTAAGAAACGGAAAAAAAAGATTCTTTTTCATTTGGATTAACATCCTCAGCCAGATGAAAGGAACTGGGTGGGTGAAGGGAGAAAAGAGTGAAACTTGGTAAAGATCAGAAGTTAATAATTTATTCTTCCTTCTTGTAGTCAGAGATTAAAACAGAACTTAAACATATTCTGAACTCCTAGTACCTTTAAATACTCTAACATATTATTTGCAATTGTTCCAATAGACTGTCTGAAATCAAAATATTAAAAAAAAAAATAAAAATAATGTTGCCTCAGAATAAAACCACCCTCCAATGCTACTGCTGCCATTGGCTTTGAATAAAAATTTGGTGCTGTGATTGACTTAAAACCTGTTACAGGTTTTATTTCTGATCAACTCAATCAATTATATACTTTTCTTAACCAACATAAATAAAAGAAAAAGGATTTTTGACTTTAAGGATTTCATCCCTACCCCTTCCCTTTCTTTTTTTCTTTAGGGGGAACAGAACCTTTGGAGAGAGAGGAGACCACTAGGACAAGCAGCTGGATCTCAAATGCAGAAGCGAATGAAAGACACCTCGGTATAACCCACCTCGTTCACTGTGTTGCCTGGACATCCACTGCTTCACCTTCTAACCCCCAGGACCACCAAGACTGCTGATCTTTGAAGAAGAGCTCCAAGGCAGCACTGATTGCCACAGGCACTGGTGCTTGCCCAAGAAAGAGCTGGGGACGCTTTTCCCCCCCTCTTCTTATTTGGGAGGAGGGGAAGGGGGTGAGAGCCACCAAACACCAGGATAAATGAGGAAGACCAGACCAGGCCTCTTGGACACAAATATACATGTTAAAGAGAAAGAAAAAAATCTGACTGCCTTCTCAGACGTATCTCAGGTTTGTCACATCACCTGCATTTTTGTCCTTAAAAGACCTCTAGATGCTCACATCAGCTGAGACTGGCTCGACTGTCTCCAAGCAATCCCAAATTTTATGGCAAGAATGTGAAGATTATTCACGATTGCTAACAATACTGTTCAGTGCAATGACTTACAGCAGATACGAGCGCCAACACACGTGTTACCACACATCAAATAGCACTGCTCAGAACAAAACGAGCTGACACTGACCAGAAGACAACCAGACCCTATTTACACATTCTCATCTTTATCATCTTTCATCATTTGATTGCATATCTTCCTGATATTACCAGCATCATGTTTTACTGTAATTTTTCATGTTGTATGCTCTGTTTGACAGCATTCAGGTCTCTAGCAGGAAAATCATTCACCTGAGCATCCAAATTGAGCCCCCTGAGCTCCAACTGGACGTTGACAGTGCAGAGAGTGAATTAGCAGCCTGCTGGCCTCACAAGACAGCCAAAAAGGAAGCTACTCTACCTAGCAACTCCTCTCTGGATGCAGCGAAGGGAGCTAATGACACAGGAACATCTGAGAAGAGAAAGTGTAATTGTGGTCTCAGTCTGTTGGTGTTAACACCAAAACTACGAGTTCACTCTAGATGCTTACAGTGTAAGCAAAGTCTACTCTTGGATCAGCAAGCTTGGCCAGAGGATGGCCACTCCTCATGCTGGTATGCCAGATACGATACCAGCCTAGGAACACATTGTGACAATTTGAGACACCATTAATTAGTATCTCTAGTTTTTATTAGGTTTACCTCTCTTCCTCCCCTTTGAGCTACTTATTCAATATTTATTACGTAGTTTTCCTTGCCTTGCTGTCATTTTGATAGATTACCTTGTTTAAACTTTAGAAATTAGAGAGCTCTCATTCCTGAGATCAGTTTAACTTTTTTTCCCCTTAATACAGATTCCTCATTCACTTGAATTATAAAACTCATATTAGAAAACTACTAGGTTTCTAGAATAGGTTTGTAGCCTCTCTCAACATGATTTAGATATTACTCATTCACTACATAGAAAATAAGCATATTTTATCATAGTGACCTATGCAGAACTTTTATTTGCTGGTTTACTTTTTTTTTTTTAATAATTGGCAAGAATCAACAACTGAATGCAGCAGAATGCATAGGAGAAAACTCAAAGTCTTCAGCAAGATGTAGTACAAATTATGGATGAAGATTATTATCCATTTTAAGGAATAATTCAGTATGTTCTTCTGTTCCACTGCAAAAAGCTGGGTCACACTCATTGTGAGTCTTAATAGACTTTCCAGCAGTTGTCAAAGCTACTCCATCTGAGACATCACTTTTAGCCAGAGGCATTCAGCTATTCCTAGATGTTATTTAAATATATATGACTGGAGGGCTTTCTATGAGACTGTCTGAAGTAATTTGTTTTGTAACTGCCTCCCTCAACATACACCCTCACAATTTTTAACACATGTACAAGAATACTGAAAGTGTTATTCCTGAGCATGTTCACATTTACAGTAAATGCTACAAAAGTGAAGATTTTTTTTGTTATTGTATTAGCTCAGCTAATGTGCTATTTCTAGAAACCTCCAGATGATTTTTAGTTCTAATGAAGTCCAGGTTATTAAGAACCATCTGATAAAAGGATTCTCTTCTTTTTCTGGTTCAACAGCGTTACATGACCATGCTATTCCACCACTTTATTTCACAACAAATTTTGGAAGGCAATATTTGAACAAAATACACTGGGAAAAAACTGACCAAGAGTAGGGTTTTTTTCGTAGTAACTTAATTTCCATTTAAGCTAGAGTTACAATGCTGAAGTCTTTCTACAGTTGTCTCTCACCACTCATGACAATTTTGAACATACGACTATTTTTCTTCAAAGCAGTTCTGCGATCTATGTTGTCTTTCCAATTCATTTGTTCCTCAGCACTTTTGGAACCAGCTTCAGTAAATTTTTCAAAAGACTAATAATCTGCAATCACATTTCAATTACTCACAGGTGTAACATCTCTGCTGTATGTTCTTCAGATTTATAGTTATGTAAACTAGCTGAAATATTCGATCTATTCCACAGCATTTAAAGTTAAGAGCCAAGGATTTCTAGAAATACATAGGCTCTTGGACCATGAATCCAGGTGTCAATTGCTCATCCAATTCTGTTAATCTTGTATTTGCTGACACCCAAGATTTACCAGGTTCAAGAAGGAATTAAAGAGTGCATTCTGCCCAAATGGCTCATGAGAAATACTTTTCAAGGAAGATTTGTAACAGCAGTATGTGATTATTTTCTTACAAACAAGAACTAAAGCATATCAGATCACAAATGCTGAAACAGGGGCTGTATTTTGTTCTGTGGGTAGCTATTGATACAACCGAGCTCCGGTGTTTGTTTAGAACCACTGGAATACCCCGTGCTAACACAAACACCAGACCCCATCCCTTGGTGCTAATACGTCTCAAGTAACAGCTCTGGATTATCTTTGTGATTATCATAGCTGGATTAAAGCCAACTTAATTTGCTATTTAGTTCAAATCCAAACCCAAGCTATTTTAGTGCAAAGCAACTTCTCCACAGTCAAAACGTTCTGCCTTGCAGAAGTCACAGAATGAAGTGCCCAAGACATGATTCCCCAAAAGAATCAATTATCATACTGAACTAACAACTGCCTCTGGTAAAACCTGATCTAGCAGGTTTTCAGACTTCTAAATAACCTAATAGCCAATCAATAGCTAAGTGGCTTTTAAAACCAGTAGTTACAGGTTATACTGTTAGGCTTATGTATGTTACAAAATTTAAGTTATCTAACACATCAGACCAGCATCGGAGAATTCACAAAGCCAACTCAACTCTTCAGTGACTCAGGTACAAATTCGTTTACTGATATAACAGAACAGTTCAGTATATAGCTTCATTCACAAATGTCAATGTAAGTATTTTCTCACAAATCTTAAAAAAGCACTACCTATTCAGGCTGCTCCTTTCTAAGTGGAAGTGGCTTAGGACACTGATTTTTGGACTGATGAAACAGTAATTGGGAAACATACTTTTTCATATACTTATGCACACAATTCTGTGTGAAACTTTCTTTTATGGTCACCTTACTATGTAGGATTGAACAAACATCCCAATAGCATGCAACTACAACTACATCATTATGACAAATGTCCATGACATTATGACAATCTCACTTTTTCAAAGTGAAAATGAGAATTAAATAGTATTAGGTACATCCTCAGACTACCAAGTGTCCCCAGCTGTGTCTCTTTCCTACAAATTCCTATTTCCATGACAAAATTCACAAATCACAGAACACACTTCTGGTGAAACTGTGTCATCCTCAAATACCACAGAACTCTGCTGAAACCTTTGTTTTTCAACACCTGTCTTACACAGATATACCTAAATCACCAAATTTAGAAATTCATGACAGAAAAATGCACTTTGGAGGGTACTAAAAACAGACTACAGTTTCTCAGGAACATTTTGCAGTAAAAAAAAATTCTGTTTTCCTATAGATTTTTCTTTATCACAGCAAATCACAGATATTATTCTGCAGCCTTGCATGAAAAGTTCAGTTCAGCAAAGTTGCAAGATCTTCTTTGACATCTGAATAGTTACATAAATCTACTTTTCATGTCCTTCAGTATATTTTTTTTTCTCTTCACAATCAGAAATTCCACAAAAATGGAAGAAATAACAAGTGCAATATGTAAGTCCTCTTGTTGTGAACAACTCCCATTAAAGGCCCCACAGAGTATTTCTTGACGAGGAGAGGAAAGCTCCAAGCTGTCAAAGATGTTTTTTCAGGTCACTCACCTTTGGTAACTCCCATTCTGATCGGGAGCCATCAGCGCTGTAGTAGTATGGTCTGCCTTGTTCATCTGCATGTTTTATCCACTGTGGAAAGAAACGTGATGATAGGAAATGTAATCAGAGTGACAGTCATAACACAGTAAATCCGATACTTGGGATTTAAAGTTAATTTTTAATAAAGTGTCATCCACTTCAGCAGCGTCTCGTGCACAATCTCCATTAACTAACCAAGGTTAGTTAGCAATGAGAGCAACGCAGTTTTCAGCTCCCTGAATCAGGTTCACTAATATTTTTTCCTTCTATAACTCCTCAGAAAATCCTCCTGCAGTAACACACAAGGGATTGTGACAAACAGCTATTTTTGAAGATGGCATATCTCACTCTTATCAACATTACGGTGTCAGTTTAAGGAAGCACAATCTTTGCATCAGATCTGTGTAAGGATTTTATACGTAAAGTTACAGAATTACAAGAAGCTCAACCAGCAACTGCAGAGAGTTTAAGATATAATTGCACTTGCTGAATAATTCTATTTTTAAAACATCAACAGGAACAGGAGGTGCAGTTCCTAAATACATCATGAAGAAGATACTATAACTTCTGAGACCTCTATAAGCCACTCCCACAATCAAAGAGGCAAAACTGACAACTGTGTCTAGTTATGGAAAGGAAAGAACTGTGATGATCAAAAGTCGACAAGAAGATCGCACAAAAATATGCACAGAAACACTCATAGCAAGGCTCTTGGATCAAGCAGGTTTCACAGAACTGCCTTCCAATAAACTGCTTGAGATAGGAAATAGTTTTCTATCAATCCCAGTGCAATTTAAAAAAAAAAAAAGTTTGCATATTTGCCAAAACATAGGTATGTACTCTACAGATGTTTAGCAGAAATAAGATTAAGTAGGATAAAATTCCAAAACCAGACATAAAACTCAATTATTTAAAAACTTCTTTCAAAAAAACCTTGCATACATCAGCAGGAGAAGATGTGGTGCTATAATATGGTAAACAAGCTACTATTTCAATGAAGACTTTTTGAAGGTAAAAAACCAAAAATGCAGCTTCAGTGAACAATTAGAAAAATGAACTGCTTTACAAATATAAACAAATATTGGCATTTACCCTACATGGGAGAAACTTTTATGACATGTCCAGAATCACAGTAAGTTGTCAGTAGCAATTAGACAATCAGAATATAACATAAATCTGCTGATATGGCTGTAGTTTAATTAAGAAGTTTGTCTACATTTGAAAGCAGTACAGAAAAACTCTAGTAAAGGATGAAACTGATAAAGCAGCATTATTTCAGTTCAAAACCATCCTAACTGGAAGGCGTATGTGCACAAGAACAGCTCTTAAAAGACAGTAATGAAGTTCATTCCTGAAGTGTAACCAAGAGGATGGGGGAGGTCAGGAATTGAAAAAATTCTACACAATATGTTCATTTAATATAATCTGATACCCAACTAGAAATAAGAAAAGTTTTTCTGAATAGTAAAAAACATACATAAGAAAAAGTCAGTTTACTTGATAAAGTTTCGTGCATATTTAAAAAAAAAAAAAAAGACATACTGCTGAGGTATGCTTTTCACTTCTAGAAACAAAATCTGCATTTCTAATAATGAATTAGCGGGAAAGAGAACACGTGATGAGAAGAAGGAAAAAGTACCTTTTCATTAGTATAGTCATTGGTATATAAGGTTTGACCATGTTCATCCAACTCTTCTGACCAACCCTTTGGAGGAGAACCATACTGACTATCTGACTGGCTGTAACAAGAACTGTGGTCGTTTTCTTCTGATGAAAGAGGCTACAAGTAGTCAGAAACATACAAGGCAGTTTTGAGAATGAAAGCGCTTTAAAATCTGAAAGACCAAAGATTATTTGACTCGAAAGAGAACAGTAATAAATTGCAGGGAGTTCACATTTTTATATCTTACATCAGAGAATGAGAGATGCATTTTTACAGTACAGAAATATTTGATAATTGCTAGGCCATTGAAAATATTTTCAGAACAACTGGTTTATATTGATGCAATTATTTTAATTCTACTATACTGGATTTCAGCTACTCAAATTTAAACTCCAATTTTTTTGCCAATATAAATTTTATTCCCACAGATTTACCAAATGATGAAGAGTTAGCTGTAGTAATCTGTATCACCCCCAAAAACTTGGGAGACTTGCTACCTTGGTTTTCTGAAAATATCCCAGCTTTCATAACTAAATCCTTTTCTTCCCTTCCCAAATAGTATCCGGAGACAATGACCTTTAAGGACAACTTGAATCTCCAGTTGCACCTTGGTAGGTCCCAGCACTTTACAGTACTTGTGCAACACATCCTAAAATATTAGGAATTTCCACTCCCCTCCTTCCAACTCTGATGTACATGCCAAGGAGCAATGCAAAACCAAGGCTTTCCACCAGGCACAGCTAGCTGAGGTGTAAGATCATTTTCTGAAGGTAGAAGTGAATTATTATGTAAGGAACAAGTTTGACATGTAAAGTAGAAAAAAGATTTTGCACACACATGCGAAATAATTTGTGTTCCCTCGTACACTTTGTCCATCTCCTTGCTAACATATTGTAGTTATTTTTCAGAGCATCCATTTCATGCATTAAAAAAGTTTTCCCTGCATTCATCTCCCACAACAACAGCTCTATGCCAGAGTCCTGAGGAATTCAGTGCAGATTTCCTTTGATGCTATCTTGGATCCTCAGCTACTAGGAGGCATAACACTTCAATTGAACTGCTATTCAGAAATGATGATAGTGAAATACTAACTAAGGTTCAATAACACAAGTATAAGGGTGTCCTGGTTTCGGCTGGGATAGAGTTAATTTTCTTCCTAGTAACTGCATAGTTTCAGTTGTTACTAAGCAGTGTTTATACTAAGTCAAGGACTTTTCAAGCTTTCCCTGTTCTGCCAGCCGGGAGTCGAACAAGAAGCTGGGAGGGGGCACAGCCAGGACAGCTGACCCCAACTGGCCACAGGGCTATTCCATACCATAACATGCCACGCTCAGTATAGAAGCTGGAGGCAGCTGGCTGGGGGGCAGCGACCGCTGCGTGGGGACGGGCTGGGCATGGGTCGGCAGCAGGTAAGTGGTTGCACCACTTGTTTTTCCTGAGTTTTGTTCCTCTCTCTCTTCTGCTGTTTTCCTTTTCATTACAATTATTATTACTATTATTATTATTTCATTTCAATTATTAAACTATTCTTATCTCAACCCCAAGTTTTCTCTCTTTTACCCTTCCGATTCTCTCCCCCATCCCATGGTGGGAGGGTGAGCAAGCGGCTGCATGGGGCTGAGCTGCCAGCTGGGGTTAAACCATGACAAAGGGTTTTGAGGAAAACTATAAAGCAGGAGAAAGGCAGAATTTCAATTTTAAACTAGAAAAAAACCTCTCCTGAAAAGCTTAAAACTTACAAACAAAATATTCAGGTACCAGAAACTCACCAGTTTTTAAAAGTCAGTGATTTTAGAGACTACTTGTTCAGTGACATTTCCAAACGTTTATTACATACAGTTTTGGTGTTACCTTCCTGAGTACCTTACCACTCGTGTGACACAAACTCCCGATGCTGACAGCAGCCAGGTTACCAAGCACAGCAAAACCCATGGGAAATTTTCGGGTCATTAATAAAGTAACATGAAAAATATAAGTGTCTACAGCCTACAGAATGCAAGCAACTGAACCATGGATTAAACACCACCACCCCTCACACGAGGGGTAACACAAAATGCCGAAGTGCCAATTTCTAACCATGGGGGGGGGGTGTGTGTGTGTGAAGTCTTCGGTCCCATTTTTACACTTGAAGAATTAAGACTGAGGAGTTGATAAAAGTGCTATTGGCCCTATTTGAACTACTGTTTTATAAGATAGCTATATTGTATATGCATATTTAAGTTTACATTATGTTTTAATGGTTAAATATTAAGTACATTTACATTTGTTCAATCAAAGTAGTAGACTTTGGACATTTTTATCATTAACAAGGATTATGACCAAATAACATAATGCATTTTTATTTGCCTCTTCCAAGCAACTCCTGATACTGAGGAAGCACTGTACACATATGAAACTGAACAGAAGACTTCAAAATGAAAATTCTCCTAGGAAAAACACTGTTGTTCAGTAAGAACAACTGTTAACGCGTCTACCTGTAAGGCACCCATATAATAGTCTTGATGTTTCAAGGCTTAACTAATCTCACATACCATACAGCTCAGGAATTTAGCCTTTGCAGACCTAAACTTAAACAAAATTCTTGAGGTGTTACAAAGTTTACCAAGCCAAGGCACTCCTTGTCCCTCAGCTTGTATGAACAACTGCCAAAGCTGTATCAACAGGGCTTAGAGAACACCAGCCAAACCATGTTGAGCAAATTTCAATTTAACTTTCAACACTTTTTCAAGTATTAACTACCAATATGCTTTTTAGGTATCGCTCATTGCTTTTACTCAGTCCCATCCTGAATTATATTATACCACATTTAAATAAAGGCATCTTAAGCAGAGAGCTGCCCAACCTTATACCTTGTAAGAATTTTGCTGTAACAGTGAACGGAATTACAGAACAGGTCCTCCACATCATCACTTCTAACTGTCTGTCTTGGCTTTTTTCCATTTACATGGAAAATTCCTGAGGGCAGAGAACAGTTCATCACCTTGCATTTAATAAAAAAGAACAGTTACAGTCCCTCTTCTATCATTTAACCAGTCTAGTTTTGAAAGGTATTACTAGTAAAAATCCTAAGAAAGCATACCGATGAATTAAAGAAGCTAGCATCCCTTTATTACCCTTTGTTTATTTTGAAACAAAAACCAGCAAACAAAAATGCATCTTGGCCACATGTTTTAAATGTAGTTTTCAATTTAAATTAAATCCTGTTGCTTTTCTACCGCTTGCCAGTTAATTTGTTGGTCTGTACTTCACGTTATGGTCTTCTAGCTAGGCTTGCCTTTCTCTGATATGACATATATATGTCATAGATGACATATATGATTCCTTGTACAGTCCACCTTAATTAAATCACTTTACTACCTGACAAATTTTTCCTAGTTAGGTGTTAAGCACTCTTCCTTCAAATACATTAACAAGTTGCTACCTCTGATAAATTTTATCTGTAATTCAAGAATCTTTCCTAGAGGCCCTGTCAATAGGACTTCACTGCTTCTCCCCACCCCATCCATGTAACTGCCATATCCATTACCAACTTCTTTAGTAAATTAGGTACAATTTTGCCCCTTCGTAATTATCCAATAAAATTAAATTTCCTAATCACAAAGTTCTAAGACCAACTATAAGCTATTTCAAGTTCTAATATATTATACATATATTAGAATAGATGATCATTTACAGTCTCTATTTTACGTCACCTTGCCATTCTGCTACCTGATATGACACAAGCTCCTCTGAGGACAAACCAGTAGGCACAATGAGCATTTAACCTTCCTGCATATGTTCCTTTATTACTAAATCTGAAGGGAATATGCATAACTTAGACTAGCGTGTAAAAGACAACAACTTCATTATAACAAATTCAATCTGGTTTTACTAATTATTAAGACATATTTGCTCCAAGTCTTCATAATCAGACAAAATTTAGGATGTCCTGTATTTTACTGTATCTTAGGCTCGGATCTCAACTTTTAAGTATTTTGGTTTAAGTACTCAGAGGTCATAAACCAAAAGTACACGCCCGAATGCAGAACACAAAAAAAAAAAAAAGGTGGGGGGGTGAGGGGAGCAGCTTCAAAATCAACACGACTGCTGGAAAGTGGATTGATGTGATGTTGCAACATGCATCTCCCTAGACTCAAACTTTGATAACCCAGTCAGAGAGGACACATATTACTTAAAGAACTTGTGCTACTTGGAAACAGAAACTTGTGTCTAGTTAAAAATTAACCAAAATATGCATCATCCATTGGTCATACAAAGACTGAAAACTTGATAGACGTAACTGTCTGAAGGCCAATCTGTGATACTTCACAAACAAACAGGACCAAGCTGAACTAAATTATGGGCAATAAAAAAGTTTTTTTAAAAAATCAGGCTTTCTGAACATGCAACCATTTGGTAAAGTCATGGTACAGAAGTATGAGTAAGAGTCACAGGGATCATTTGCAGGTGGGGATGGAGAAAGAATTTTTAGAAGTCCTTCTGTGAAAAGAAGGAAGAATGACGACAACTGAAAGCCAGTTACGCTTACTACAAGTAGAGTTCCTACTCAAAAAAGTAATCACCTTATCCAGACTAAAACCAGGGTCTTATCCAGCAAAAGGACAGCCAGTGAGAAATTAATAGACCACCACCAGAGATACCAAAGTGACAGCCACAAACATTTCACCAGTTTACCTGTTGCTGCCACAAGCCTATGGCAAGAAAATTTGGCTGTTTAAATGCTTGTGGATGTCACGGCTGCTATCATGGCCATTGCCAAAGGCAATGGAAGGGTCCCTTTTTCCTTTCTCTCCTGTTTCTGGCACTAACATCCCAGAGGTAACCTTCTACGACAGGGCTTGCAGCAATCTAAAATTTTTTAGCAGTCCACAATTAAATTTTAAAACTAAACGCTGTAATAGACTCAGAAGGAAATCCACCTGAACTATACATATTTGAAAAGGGTATATATAAAGTGAAATATGTAGATGTCTTGATAAATATTTGCTTTTTCTTTCAATCAGGAAACTGATTAACCTAAGTACTGTTTGAACACAAGAGCACTATTTTAAGCATATTGAAATAGTAATATCCATCTTTCAACTATTCCTTTGCTTTATCTGAACCACTGCAGTTCAAACACACACCGCTGTCTGGCTCTTCCTAGCGACTGGCTGCAGAGAATATAGCTGCACCTCAAATATTAGCCCAAATCATCATTTAACATAAATAACTTCATGGTAAGCTTCAACTCTCTTAAGCAAGGTCTGCAACAAAGCTTTACCAAAAAGTCTTGCAAAAGCAAAAGGTTTCTTGATGAAAAAAACCCCATTGATCTATCTAAAGAATATGTTTACGGCCTGAAGGTAATTTAGGCAAAGGCTCCTATGGCTAATTGCCAAAAGCTGGGGTGGCTCTCCTCCCCTCATCAGCATTTGCTACCTTGAACCTAGACACTTGGCTAGGCAGAGCTTCTAGCACACTAATTTTAATGTTCTCATTTTCTGTTCTTGAGGAAATCATTCACAAAATGAAGAAAAGGATTTTCTCCAAGTTGACACAATTTGATAACAAAATATTGCTCCTTTAACAGCCCCTTCTCCTAGTATGTTCTACCACTATGCAGGGCAGAAATCAGTATTTTTGATGCGGGTAGAAAGTGCTGCGGAGCTCCACTAAGTCTAGTTTTGACCCGAAAACTCTGGAGTACTCTACATCCATCTTAAGCTCTAAATCCATCTTAATTCCTCTCTACAAAAATATTTTTGTCTATAAGAAAAACACCTCGCATTTAAATTTACTGCCACAAAGTTAAACAAACAGTAACAAACACTTGTATATTCCCTGCCTTTGTTTTTACCATGTATTTAACTGATATTGATAAAAATAAATAATTGTCCTTGCCTTTTTCAATGCATCCCCATAAATCCTGCTTCTAGAAGCACTGTCACATGCCTTTGCCTGCCCCCCCGCCTTCTTCCCCAAAAATGTGCCAAATACCCTGGGAAAGAGAACGCACTCCATGTCAGAGAAGTTCCAGTGGTTGTCTTACTCTATTGTCATTTATAGTCCTGTTAGTTTCAGAATACCTTTGTTTTCCTTTTCCTTTAAAAGAAAAGCTGTAATACCTGCCGAGGGACTGCAAGGCATTTTTACCACTTACTACTCTTGCACACAGTTCACGTATGTGTTCTTGTACACAAAAGCAATTGAAGAGCTAAACTGTTTACTACTTCATACCAAGACACATAACCAAAAAGACAAATGAAGACACTCTTTGACACCTCGAAACTCAGCGATACCAAACTCCATGGCAAAGCAGCATTCATACGCATTACAATCTCACTGCTTGCGATCTCAGAAGGAACTACCTCATGATCTGCATGGCTCTGGGAATCCCCTTTATTAATGCTTGCATCTCGGGCCCACCGCGGAGGTTTCCAGGTTCGCTCCTGTGATCCTCTGTTGTAGTAATAACAGCGTCCTGTCGTATCTTTATGGGTTTCCCATTCCCCATTTATTTGGACCGGAGCACTTGTAGGTAGTGGTGGAAGTGCAGACTGAGATATTTTCAGTTCTTGTAAATTAGCATAAACTGGTGAATCAGGCCTCCCTTGGCTTGGTGGAGTAGTTGGCTATTGAGAGAAGAAATGTATTGTTAAAGAGCAAATGAATTTTAGAATGGTCCCTTACAAATCAGAATATATTACAGTAGGAAAACAAACCAACAAACTCCCTTTTTTGTGGTTAACTACAAAAGCACAAAGGACAGCCACGAGATGCTGGGGCATGAAAACGTTAGATTGTTAACTGTAAGGTAGATACCACAAGCTATATTTATTTAATACTGAAACAATTTTTCAGCATTTCTCCAGGTGACAGCTGATAATTACGTCTTGCGGTAGATTTGAAATACACTGGAATCATCATCAAAATAATTATAAGCTTGCCTTGTTGAAAAACTTCAGCTTTACAGTTCAAGTATTGCTCAGGAACTGTGAGCAATGTGATCTTGTTCAAGACAAAACGTAGCATTTCCAAGGTGCCACTTGTTAGGCAAAGATGGTTCCCCAACCTTCCCCCCTCACTGCCGACAGAGATGATGGTTAACGTAAAGCAGCACTTTTACCTTCTCAGCAAGATCTAAACAGACAGTTCAGCTGGAAAGACGAGCACCGTGCTGTGACTAAGAAACTCTGGAAAACACCTGGATGGTTTACCTGTACGCCTTTCCAAACAGATGCTTATTTAAAAATGTTCTAGGCAATATCACCAAGTGTTCCAATTACCACTCTCTTCCTACAGAAGTGGATATTCTGATGCACCTAATTTTATTCATACACATGCACACAAGTAGAACAACAAATACCCACAAGAAAACAAGACACTAATGACAATTTCTCATTAACAAATAGTTGACTACCATGAAAGACTGCAGAAAGCGCGGTTAAAAGTCCATGGCACTCACTGAAACCATGACTACTTTCAAATAAGCCACTGAAGTCTTTAGGAGAGAAATATACTTTAAAAATTGAACATCTGAAAGTGTAATACAAGCATATAAAACACTACGCGGAATATAAGCGCATGTGTTCTCACGAGAGCTGTGATTACAAGATTGTGAAAGCAGCTTGTTATTAAACCAAATTTAATCGTTTCCCAATAATGCAGTCATCTCTGTATTTTAGGGCACATTATTTAGGGACTCTAAAGAAGGAGCTATATAATTTATACCATCTCTTCCCCCTGCTTGGTTTTAATTCAGAAGCTTTGCTGCAGGCAAGTCCCTGTGCCTCTTGTTGCATCTTTCGCAGGAAAAAACCAACATATTGTGTTACATAAAAGATCTTATTATAATGTACTTTTAAACATGAAAATCGTAAGCTGCTAATCTAGGCCACATCTAATCATAAATTACCACGGTTTGCTCAGACAAGACAGCGTATCATACCACACAGTCAGATATAAACTGATTGCACCACAGCTAGAACCAAATACGGGCAATATCCACAACCAAAAGGGGAAACAGCTAGAGAGGAACTTAATGAGATTAAAACAGGCATGGACTTGTTTTGTGTGCCTTTAAAAGAGAAAACACAGCTTACTAGATATAGCAAGTACAGTATGAGCACTGGCAAAATCAGAGCGCCAAAACCAATTAGTATCCTCCTCTACCTAATTCAAAGAGAAAAAAAAATATCTGTTACAAAATGTGATGAACAGTAAAAGACTATTTTTCTATCTTTTATTTTCTTTTTCTTGAGGAGGAGGAGGGTCGAATGGCTGCCTTTGGTAGAACTGCTTGAGAGCACTAACAGCACAGAGAACGCTACTATGAAGGAAGCATCACCCCGCCGTCCTCAGGGACGAGCCTCGACTCCCCGGGATGCTGGGAGAGCAACCCTCCGGTCTCCTCATCCGAGAGCGCGGTTTCCGCATTCGTTTCCCGGTCGGCCAGCAGAGCTGCATTTCTCACGTAAATTGTCCTGCCATTAAACCACCAGCCTTGTCATCTGAAGCCACAACATCCACCTGCACGGGGGAACGCACAAACCTGCAGGTTCTTCCCCTATTTCAAGGAAGTGGCAAGAGCAGCACCGCCAAGGGCCCCGGCAGCGGGAGGCCGGTGGCTTGCACAACCCTCCCGTCCTCCTAAAACTGCTCTTCCACGCGAGACAGCAAGAAGGCTTTGCTGTCTGGCCTGCGTTTGCCATTTGCTTTTTTGTTTTAATTAAGACGGCAAAGTGCCGTTATTAAAAGAACAGTTCCGTGTATTAAGAAAAGTGTGTTCCAGGTAGAAAGCCTGCGACACAGAACGCTTGAGAGAGCCTGCAGAACATTTTCCCAAGCAACGCAGAGGAACATGGCCCAGAGGTCTCTGACGGAGGTTTTCAGCTGCTGCAGCGTTATAACCAGAACAAGGCCGGCTGAAACCGCGGGACACGTACGTGCTACGCCAACACTGGACGCTCACGGCTAGCGCGCCGCCGCCTAACTCAGGCAGCACGCTGGTTAAGCTTAAACAGTAGCATGACATGGAAGCGTAATGAGGGGGTTTCTTCCAAATGCTTAGTACTTCCAAACTCAACAAACTGATTTCTGGTTTTCGAGGGAAAACCAGGAACTTTTGTCCTGAACAACAAATGAGACAGCTACCTGTCCTGCCAACCAAGCCTCTAGCGACTTTCATTCCCTGTTGCTCTCTCTTCTGACAGATTTTTCAGGGAGAATGGCAAGATTTTTGAAAGACACCTGTAAGTTACACTTTGCTGAAAGCAGAAAAAAAACAAAAAAAACCAAAAAAAAAACCAAAAAAAAAACCAAAAAAAAAACCAAAAAAAAAAAACCAAAAAAAAAACCAAAAAAAAAAAAACCAAAAAAAAACCCAAACAAAACACAAACCAACACCACGCAAAGCCATCAATCTAACTATAACAAACAGCTTAGCTCATACGTACGTCTTTGAGGGATATAACTTTCTTATCAGGAACTATTTTAAATAACCACGTAGCATACAAGAGTACTTCCTCATACCTCGAGCCATGCAACGAGGTACGCTGTTGTGTCTGCAATAATG